AGGCAATCGCAGCCCCGCAGCGAGCTGCTCCCGGAATATCACGATCTCATCAGGACCGTGTTCCCAAGGAAAGCTACCCGAAGGTATGAAATAAGTGTATTCCTTAGGCAAATTATAATAGGTAATAAGGGATTGGAGCCCCTGGGGGTCATGGTCGAGGGGCCAAACTTGTCTAACGACCGACCCCGACGAGAGGTGGACGCCAAACTACCCGAGGTGACTCGACCAACGGGTTCGAACTCTTCCTCGAGCTCTACCTCCGACTCGCTAGAACTATCAGGGGATGCAACTCGGTTCGTGGAACCTGCATCTGACTCACCAGAAGAACCGCCCGATCTGTCCGAACTAGACATTGAGGAAAGAAGGTGGATTCCAGGAAGGTACTCACCCGGATAAGAGCTTGAACGAGACTACGAAAACTTGAACGAGCAAAAAACCTTGAACGCGAACTGAAAGCCCGGACGCGAGCTAAAATCTGGATGCAAGCTCAAGAGGCAGCGCAGAAGTGACAAAGTGACTGGGGTCCCCCACTATTTATAACCACAGTGACCGAGATGCAACGGCGCAGATCAAAGCCGATCTGACGGCCCGCGGTCACGCTGACCGCACGTCCCCTGAGACCGAGACGTGATTGGCGCACGTCTTTCTGAAACTGACATGCGCCGGCGCACGTCTTTTTGAAACTGATAGAACGCCAGCGCACGTCTCCTCACGTTAAAGGCGACAGCGACACGTTTTCAAATTTGAAAAGACGCCTGCTGTCACGTCTCCCAACGGCGCGCTTTTTCAACTTTTTAAAAGTAAAGAGCGCGTTGCCACATCTGTCAACTTTTTCGGCGCGTTTGCCACGCTATCAGGCAACCAAGATTCGAGGTACGGGACAAATCCACTAACCAGCTCGCGAACTCCCCGCGTCAGGGCAAGGTCCTTAGCATGAGGAGTGGGGGGCAATTGATGAAGGAAGATTTGGCCCGACCTCATAATCACCCAACACGTGGCAAAGGC